AAATTAATTACTTCAATCACGCAATAATTACTAATTTACCCAATTATTATATTATTCTTTGCAAGAACTGCACAACCAGAAGCTTCAATTTAAACTAAATGTGGAGTTATTCCTCAAAGATACTGATTTTTTGCCGCAAACTCCAATTTTCTCATACCTATATCTTTGAAACCTGAAGATGCAAACCTTTGATATTTCAAATTTAGTTCATTTAATGTAACACAATTAATATTTTGAAATATCAAAAGTCTACAACAATAGATTGAAAAGATATAGGGATGGACAAATTTGAGTTTGTGGCAAAAATGATAAACTGTTTTTATGATTCAGCAACTCAACCCTCCCTAGCCCTCCTCACCCCAATCTAATATTTTACTTTTAAAACTAGAAGAGTTTTATTGCTCAAAAATGAAAAGTTTTTGATAAATTATATCATCAAAGATAAACTTTTCAATTTTACCTCAAGTAAAAAAACCACCAAAAGTGAAGGAAGTAGCATATAACAAGCAAAGTGTTTTTTTTATAGATTTGGTATTACTCATTCGACTTTGCAACCTTGTGACTTAGCTGTAGCTTTGTTTTCACACACTGGAATAATTTTATCTATATTGCATGGCAGGACTTTTTATTAGTAATCCACTTCTAAAATTGTTTGGACAGAGAACAAGATTTTAAATTAAAATAAATGAGATTTAGTTTAATGTGCTTCAAATATCAGAATTAACTCAGTCATACGGTTGGTTAAAGATGTGGTTTACCCTAAGACATGTTATATAATCACATATATATTTACTCCACTTAAAATTAAATTAAATATCATGTAGGATTAAAGGGAGTGACCGGCTATGTAAGGTAGTTGAAATGAGTACGCAGTGTTGTCGAAAAGGCATATTAAACTTTTTAAAGATCGGTAAATCCTGAGTTTGAGTGCATAGCCGACGTTCAATAATCCTACTTTGGGGGTGGATACGCTTTCAGAATTAGTTTTTTTAAATTATTAATTAACGACGACATAAAATGTAAAAATATTTTACAATAAACTACATACGTCATGTTTATGAACATTTTGAGAAAATAAAAAATAATCTTATCATCGAAAATAAGTAATCTTGTTCAATTATTAGTTTCTATTATCTCATTATTTTGGTTTTTCATTATTCACAAAGATTTTCGCAGATTTTCTAGAATTATTATTGAAAAGACGACATTTGAAGAATTTGAAGAAATCTGCGAATAAATTCAAAGAAGATAAGAAATCCAATCTAATAATGAAAACGAAATAATCGATATTAGCATTGATTTGTTGATAAATTTATTTTGTGAAATATGTTCCTAGCCATCTAATTAGATTACTGTATAATTTTTACTTTATTTTTCGTTGTCGTTATTTAATAATTTAAAAAAACTAATTCTGAAAACGTATCCACCCCCAAAGTAGGAGTTTTGAACGTTCAATTTGCGCTCAAACTCAGGATTTACAGATCTTTCAAAAGTTTAATATGTCTCAAATGAATCCAAAAGAAGTTTTCCACAACACTGCATACTCATTTCAACTACCTTACATAGCCGGTCACTCCCTTTAAAATCTTTTGTATTTTTAATCATAGCTCTCCTGATTGCAGAGATATCGAGTATAGAACAAAAATGTTTAGGATTTCTTGTATTTAATTAAATAAATTTGCTATTGTTACTCTTAGCGTAAACAATTTCGCCCATAAATCTATCAGGGTTTTTCCAATTACTTCTTGAATTCGAAGTTAAAAACAAGCGCTCAGTAGTTCTAAAATGCAACAACATCCTTCTACACTGAGAATGATTATGTGGATTACAGTTTACAGTACAACTAAAACTCTTTTTAAAAGTTAGAAAAAATTGTTAAATGAAATTACTTTGTCAGAACTTGAAAGAAATGCAATCTGTGCCTTCAATTAAAATGGTAAAGTTTTCTCAAGTTCCTTCAAACTTTTTTCATCAATCATAATATTGGTTCTGTAGACCACATGAACATTGTTGCATTCTACATTAAGGTGTACATACAGTAAAGTACAAACTAGAAGGAAGGAATAGGTCAAATTCAATTAATATTACCGTTACGACTTTATGACCTTGTTGCTCCTCTAGTTCTGATTTTACGAACAAGTATAAAAAGCAAATTTATTTGCTTACAAATTATGAATTCAAAATATCTTTGATCTTCTCAATAGCTCTTCAATAAAAAATGAAATGTTTTAATATTACGTGCATTTTACTTTAGTTTCACGTGGTACGACTTTGATACCTCCTAGCTCCTTAATAGTTTTGATTTTATACAGAAGTATGTGAAAAGCAAATATATGCGGTAAAGATTAGAAATTCAAAACATTTTTGCTAATTTTAAAGCTTTTCAAGAAGAGGAGTTATGATTTAAAGATTTCAATACTTAATATTTGATAGATATAATTGGTAATATAATAAAAAGTTAAAAACGTCCGTTTCATGTGACGAGAACTCTACTAATGGTAGTGTATTACGAGCTCCCTCTGTATCACATGATCAGTATACTGCACTGCCATTGGTAGGAGTTCTGGTCATGTGATACGGACGTAAAAATAATATTGTTAATTTTATCTTTTAGAAATGAAAAATTATTAAATTCAAATATTAATAGAAGCAAAATTAAGTTAAGGATATCGTCGTTTCCAGATTGCTTATGTATTTGTTGAATAATCTGTTTAAACCTACTATTTTTTTACAAAATTTTATATAAATAGATATTCATATAAAGGAATTGAGTCTTTGTCACAAACTATGATTTTCTAATCTCTAAATCTTTGCAACCCAATGCCGTAGACCTTAGATATTTCAATCTATGAATTCTGTTAGATGAAGGAATCTAAGTTTGAAATATCAAAGGTTTACACCATCAGGTGGAAAAAATATAGAAATTCGAAAATCAGAGTTTGTTACAAAGACTCAATTCCTTTGACATAGTTTTATATCAATTTCTCGAGACAGGTACACCAGATAAAACTCTCATAGTTTTTATGATCAACTCCTAAAATGCCTAGGTCTCTGCCATTACCCCCTTACATTTTTCCTTAACAGCCCCTTTAAGCTATGACTTATATTTAGCGCATTTTATAGTTTTAGACTCTGGACCGTATTGTAACATTTAAAAACCTCTAAAATCTAAAATCTAAAAACAAACAGTTGAAATTTAATCTTATCTCCTTTTAAACTGAATTAATTCAAATTTGCTAATACAGAAAACCTTTTTATAGCCTTTTATTCCAATTTGTTAAAGTAAATGGGGTATAAAAGTTTAATGGAATGTAAATAGTCTACTTTATGTTGTATTATTATTCTTTTTTATTACTTTATTAAACGCCAAATATAATTTAAAATATTACACAAAATTAGACAATATCTAGAACCTATACCTATACCAGTAGTTGCCTTATTTTATAAATATAATTCAAACAAGAATACAAAGTTAGATAGTATTTAGAACCTATACCTATACCAGTAGTTGCCTTAATTTATAAATATAATTTAAACAAGAATACAAAATTAGATAATATTTAGAACCTATACCTATACTAGTAGTTGCCTTATTTTATAAATATAATTCAAACAAGAATACAAAATTAGATAGTATTTAGAACCTATACCTATACTAGTAGTTGCCTTATTTTATAAATATAATTTAAAACAAGAATACACAATAAGATAATATTTAGAACCTATACTAGTAGTTGTCATATTTTACAAATATAATTTGAACAAGAATACAAAATTAGATAATATTTAGAACCTATCCCAGTAGTTGTCTTAATTTACAAACCAATAAAATGTTAGCGTGTTAAAATAACTACTTTTATAATGCCTAGTACTAAAAAGTCACAGCAAAAGATTTTTTTTTGTTTGGCATAGTAATTAGTAATTACTAATTACAAAATACTAATCTTACTGATTGAATTTCAATAGAATACAATTAAATTGAAACAAGAAAATCATTATATAATAAATACACCTAGCTCTTGGTGATGGATAGGGGGGGGGGGCAAATTCTGTTAAATATATGAAAAGTTATATAATTTGGAAATGTTTTAAAGGGACTGTAAGATAATTTCAAGTGAGTCTCTATGCAAACACCGCAATAACCGATTTATAACGGTACCCAATAAACTTTTCACTGATAATCGAGACTAATAAGAATGTTTTCACTATTAAATATTGTTCGGATTTTCATTAAACAGGAGTAGCGCATAATATTCAGTGTGAGCTCAACTCAATTAACATGCATGTATATCTCGAAAATATTGAATATTGCATGTTCATTGTTCAATGCGTTTTTTCATAAATATAAATGTAAATATTTATTTTCTGCGACTTTAAGAAAGGAAATCTTAATATTTCTTAAATATAAAACACAAGGCATCCATTATTAAATGATCTAAACCGTACATGGATTTACAGGTTTATTGTAATAATTAAACTGATATGCATTCACTTTTGTACTGTCTAGTCTAGAGGCCCCATTGTAAAAAATGACAGCAAATACAGTCTGGTAAAATCTACGTAAAAACAGCTTGCAATACAAGCATTCAACTATTCCAAGCGTTTCTTCTATATATAAATTTGGCTTGTCTGTCTGTTTGTTTGTCTGTTTGTTTGTTTGTTTGTATCCAATAAACGTCAAAACGGCTGAACCGATCGGGCCCAAATTTTTTGTGGGACATCTAGGGACCCTAGGGAATGTTTATGAAAAATCAAAATTTCAAATATTTGTCTCTATCAAAATTCGACCGTCATTAAATTTTTAAAAGTTTTGAAAATCCGCGAAATTTTTTGTAAAAATCCGCGAATTATTTTTGTTTAGTTTTACGATGTACACAAAGAGAACATGTTCACAACTAATTTAGAAGATGGGCGCGAAGCGCCCTATAAGGCTAGAAAGAAGGGCGCGAAGCGCCTTGAATTTCTAGTTAGATAAATATGGATATACCCACATGTCTTTAGATAAATATAGATATACCTGTGTTTATTCAGGTAAATATGGATATAGCAGCGTTTCTTTAGATAAATAGAAATGTAGCCGCGTTTTTTAGATAAATATGGATATATCCGCGTTTTATTAGATAAATATAGATATACGCGAGTTTCTTTAGATAAATTAAAGCCGCGTTTCTTTAGATAAATATGGATGTAGCCGCGTTTCTTTATAAAAATATAGATATGCCTGCGTTTCTTTAACTAAATATGGATATATCTCTGCGTTTCTTTAGCTAAATCTGCATATATCGGCGTTTCTTTAGATAAATATGGATATATCTGCGTTTCTTTGGCTAAATATGGATATCTGCGTTTCTTTAGATAAATATGGATATATCGGCGTTTCTTTAGCTAAATATGGATATCTGCGTTTCTTTAGATAAATATGGATATATCCGCGTTTCTTTAGCTAAATATGGATATCTGCGTTTCTTTAGCCAAATATGGATATCCGCGTTTCTTTAGATAAATATGGATATATCAGTTTTTCTTTAGATAAATAAGGATATAACCGTGTGTCTTTAGATAAATATGGATATATCGGCGCTTCTTTAGATAAATAAGGATATAACCGTGTTTTTTTAGAAAAATAAGGATATATCGGCGCTTCTTTAGATAAATAAGGATATAACCATGTTTCTTTACATAAATATAGATATACCCGCGTTTCTTTTTAGTCAAAGGTGCAAATAGAATACTGCTGTGAACACTGTACTCTTCAGCTTCTTTAATCTCTAGATTTTGGAATAACAATAATACTGAAAGAGTTTTATAAGTTTATAAGTTACTTCTGAGCTTGATTATTCTAGAATTCACAGATGAAGGAAAAATCTGAACGATTTAAAAAATTCATTTATTCTTTTTTCTTTTTCCTAAAGTTGTTGTTTCATTTATGTTAATGTACAGGAAGAATGCGACGCCGAAAGAATGATATTAGTTATTTTACAAAAACTTTTTGAATAAAAGTAGTGCATTAAATAAATAGCAAAACATCAGAGAAAATATTCACAAAATGTAAAATTTGCATACATGTTTGCAAACCTTTCTACATATCTTTTTTTGCGTTTGAAAATATGTATATTCAAACATTTAAATCCTTATTTAAAATATAGAAGATTAAAAAATACAATGAGAATTTTTATAATGGTAATTTGGCCTTTTCTATTCTTTTAGACCGAAAGTTTTTTGTGGAACCTCACTCAAACTTACAATTAAAGGGTTGCATTCATAATCATTAATTGACAAATAGATAATTCTAAAAGACAAGACCAAAAACCCTCAAACATGCAAAGTTTTTTAATAATTTCTACAGGCATCTAAAAAACGTTTAACGTCTTCAGGTCAAAGAATCACCCATGGGGCAAATAATCCCAATTTTTTTATTGATTACCTTGTTTCTGCATATATCTGTGGATATGTAGATCAAGAGATCGGGATAATTAGTAACCAGGACGAGATAAGTTACCAACTCTGAAGCATCTTGATATTATGTCGCCACTTTTGCAATTTTATGTTTTATTCAATGATAATTTATTTTTTTATCTCCAAGCTATGAAATGTTTAGGGTTTTATGGAAAATATTCATCATCTATATATAAATTTGGCTTGTCTGTCTGTTTGTTTGTTCGTTTGTCTGTCTGTCTGTTTGTATCCAATAAACGTCAAAACTGCTGAACCGGTCGGGCGCAAATTTTTTGTGGGACATCACGTGACCACAGGGAAGGTTTATGAATGATCAAAATTTCAAATATTTGTCTCCATCAAAATTCGATCTTCATTAAATTTTTGAAAATTTTGAAAATCCACGAATTTTTTTGTGAAAATCCGCGAATTATTTTTGTTTTGTTTTACGATGTACACAAAGAGAATATGTTCACAATTAATTTAGAAGATGGGCGCGAAGCGCCCTCTCAGGCTATTGTCTATAAATTTATATAGTAAAATTAATGTTTGCATGAAATTATATGTTTACATTTTACTGTCCCGTTATTATGTTTTAATTATAATAGGGTGGCATGAAACTAATTTTGAAAGATTATAATAGAAAATTCCTGGAAATGTTGAAATTAATGTTTAGTATAAAGAAAAAATAAGTCTTTGTTAATATGGAATTAATTTTCTAGACAAGTGCTCTTCAATCTATTAGCATTAGATCTATTTGTAGGGTGGGGTGGTAAGTGTGTTATACCAGTTCTCATTAGATCACTAAAGTTAAGCACACTCTCCATGGACAAGAAAGTGGATTGGTGTCCACACTGGTAGTCGCGGGTTAAAATCCAGCACCTCACAACACAACAGATGATGCATTGAAATTGCATATGACGATACAACCATGATGATATCCAAAAATCAAAACCAATGTGTGTTCCTGAAACAAAACCCTTATACGCGTGGTTCCTAGAAGAGAACCCAGCACTATAAGCGGGGTTCCAGGAAGAGAACCCCTGGAGGAGAACCCCTATAAGCGTGGTTCCTGGAAAAGAACCCATGGAGGAGAACCTCTTTAAGCGTGGTTCCTGGAACAGATCCTCTGTACGACTGGTTCCTTGAACAGAACCCATATAAGCATGGTTCCTGGAAGAGAACCCGTATAAGCATGGTTCTTGGAAGAGAATCCCTATAAGCATGGTTCCTGGAAGAGAATCCCTTTAAGCGTGGTTCCTGGAAGAGAACCTCTATACGTGTGGTTCCTTGAACAGAACTTCTATAAGCATAGTTCCTGGAAGAGGACTTCTATAAGCATGGTGCCTGGAAGAGAATCCCTGTAAGCATGGTTCCTGGAAGAGAACCTCTATATGCGTGATTCATTGAGCAGAACCTCTATAAGCATGGTTCCTGGAAGAGAATCCCTGTAAGCGTGTTTCCCGGAAGAGAACTGCTAAACTCGTGGTTTCTTGAACAGAACCTCTATTAGCGTGGTTCCTTGAACAGAACCTCTATTAGTATGGTTCCTGGAAGAGAACCCCTTTAAGCAAGGTTCCTGGAGAGAACCCCTATAAGCGTGGTTCCTGGAAGAGAACCCCTATAAGCGTGGTTCCCCTAAAAGCGTGGTTCCTGAAGGAGCCCCTAGAAAGAACCCCTATAAGCGTGGTTCCCCTAAAAGCGTGGTTCCTGAAGGAGCCCCTAGAAAGAATTTATCCCAGTGTTCCATTTGACGAAAGTGACAAAAACCTCTGCAATATCAAATACTGCTAGACATCCACTCTGGCAGTTCTATTGGAATTCATTAATATAAACAAAATAATAATAACTATATATTGTAATCTCATAATAATCTTAAATAAAATTAAAAAGAGGAGTACAACTCCCAAAAACATTTTAAAAAAAGGTATTGGGTTTTTAAAAAGAAAATTTCCCCCTCCCCTTCCCCTCCCCGCCTTCTAAAAAATGAAGTCATTACATGCAATCACTAAACGTTGAACTCTGAATTGTAAGACGAATATTTCTATTCGGTTCCATAAAATATAAATGGTTTCCTAATTGTAAAACTGTTTAAAGTAACCAATAAAAAGCGAAGAACAATTTGCCTAGCTAGTGGGAAGAACTGCAATTTTCACTTTGTGTTCAATAAGTTAAACTGTTTCAGGATCTAAGGAACTACCGTTTAATTTGCACAAATATCACAGAGATAAAACATTTTTTCTTCAGAAATATGATGGAGGGGACACGAAGTATTTTTAAGTTTATTAAACATGAAAATAGACCAGCTTCAACCAATAAACAGGTCAGTTCATATCACATTAGTTTAATCATAAAATTAACATGAGCATTAAAGGAACTGTAAACGTAATTTTAAATGACAGGCCATTTTAAAAGTGGCATTTATAAAATTGAAAGTAATTAGCAATTATTGTTGTGTTTGTATAATGATACCACAATGCAAAACAAACTTAAGGATAATTATCCCATTCCTTTTTGATCCGACCTAAGGTGAAGCATATCACTCGATAATTGGAGGTTCAGTTAAAAATTACGTTTCCAATACTATTGAAAGGCGTCTTTAGTAATTTTTGGGATATTTTAAAATAATCTCATCGATACTTCATTAGATTATCATAACATTTTAGTTCCTTAAAGGAATTAAGTTTTTGCCACAAACTCTGATTTTCTAATCTCTTTATCTTTGCAACCCAAAGTCGTAGACCTTAGATATTTCAAGCTATGACTTATGTTAAATCGAATAACTAAAGTTTGAAATATCAAATGTTTACACCATCAGTTGGCTAAGTATAGGGATTATAAATTTTTAGTTTGTGGCAAAAACTCAATTCCTTTTTTTAAAAATCCATTTATTTAAAATTTTTACAATCATTTGAACTGGCCAACTATAGGTTATATATGGTTTTTATGTTTTTAGCGTCTCACAGTATCATAAATTCAAAATAATCCTGGATTATCATAGTTAGGATTAAATTCTTCAATCTTCAAGTCTTGAAAACTTTAATGAAAAAAGTTCTGATATTCATTTCTATGAATATTTGCTGAAAACAAGATATTTATATATTTTTCTATTAAATCTTCTCTTTCTTTAGATTACTGAAAAGAAAGCAGAATATGAATCAGATAGGGAGTCTTTATCATCTTCTTCCAGAACGGGAAGCTTTAGGGATCATTTATTTTCAGACATTGATCGTCTTTTTCTTCTTCTTCTTCTTCTTCTTCTTCTTCTTCTTCTTCTCCTTCTTATTGTTCTTCTTCTTCTTTTTCTTGTTCTTGTTCTTCTTGTTCTTGTTCTTCTTCTTGTTCTTGTTCTTCTTGTTCTTCTTCTTGTTCTTCTTCTTTTTCTTGTTCTTCTTGTTCTTGTTCTTGTTCTTGTTCTTGTTCTTAAATGATTTGTTTGAAATTAAATTGATTTTTTACGGGCTAAGTCGTATGTTGCATCTTTCTGAATTTGTATGGCCGCTTAGTTATACGGTATGAGACGTCTTTAACAATTTTCTCCTCTCTTTTGGTACTATATATATGACAGTTTAATTTGTCGTTTTGGTGTTTTTCAAACATGTAATTGAGGACATTTTTATAAAAATATTATAAAAAAAAATTATATCATTTTAATATTAATTAAAAAGGGCAAACTCAAAACTGCCATAAATTCCTGAATTTTAACGCTACAAACCTCTAATTGGTGTCCATCGATCAGAATGGTTACAAAGATTTCGTAAAAATCTATGTACTGTAAAAATCAAACTGTAATTAAAGCTCTAGAGTGTTTTTATGGGACACCTTGCATTTCAATTCTTTGAATACTTATACTCTAATTTTAATTCAACTAAATAGATGATAGACTAAAGTTAAAAGTTCCTGACTTTTACCAAAATTTGAAATAATTCATGGGAGATCTTTTATTCAAAACTTAAATTTACTTTTTATATATTTATTATTGATAGAGTTTGGGCCGAAATTAAAGTGTAGCTGAAATAACTACTTTTTATTGATTAATTTTTTATATTTGGTTTGAATCTCTATTTTATAAATCTAAAAAAATCTGAGAAATTGACCACTCATTGTAAACGATTTTTGTTTTTGCATTCTCATCTTTTTCATTTTCCTAATGGAAGTTAGAACTAAATGTGCAGTTTTTGGGAAAAAACTTCTAGAATTCTACTTTTATCAAATAACTATGGTGCAATCTAAAAGAATAGATAGTACAGAATGGAGTGGAATTAAGTGGACAAAAGTGTAAAACCGCCATTTTGTCAAATTGTTTCCATAATGCACGAGGGAAGGGGTGCAGAGGCGCCATGATCCCCGCAAAAATAACATCTGAGCCTCCAGATTTGCAGAATGACCTCCAGGCCCCGCGAAACCGTCTCCCAGCCTCAGTGACGTCACCAAGCGTACTTCACATATGTGCTATTAAACCTTTTGGACCCTGGAACATCTTTTTAAAGAAAAAAATGTCTTGATTTTTCTTAACTTTTCTCTAAATCAATTCTCTGACAACCTTTCATGCGCTCCTGAGTTCATTTCAGCATAAGTTTAAGAAAAAGAAGAAATTGTAACTGATATGTCCGGGGATATTACTGTATTACTGTTATGAACTGCGTTTAATTTGTAAACATTACATGAATTGTACACTTTGTACTCCTTTTTTCAGGCTCAAATGTACTGAACTAAATGATACTGAGGAAAAGTATTATTTCCCTTCTACTCCGAATCAATTCAATAATGGAAAATTAGATTTCCAGTGCATAATTCTGTGCCAGTAAATTTATCAATATTTTGATGTACAAAGGCCTTTATCCTGTTTATCCCTTAATTTCATCTATAACGTTTTTAATAATTTCTAAATAGTTACTGAAAACCACAAACAACAAAAAGATTTGCAAAATGACAAAAATTGGAAACCTTTCAACCACATATACTTTTAACTAAATTAGGCAACAGCTCCTCTATGTTGTAGAAAGCTTGGCGTGCAAGACGGAACTAGAGACATCTGTGAAGTAAATTTGAACCACAGACTAGGAGATGACGACATACATTCTCATCTTATAGTCAAGAAAACTTTTCAGGCAACTTTTAGCAATTAAAACAAATTTCAAGGCCTGCAAAATCTTTGGAAAATAAAATTTTTTTTACATGGTTCTTGTATCAAAGTTGAAAAAAAGTAAAATGGTCTTAAAAAATGTCTATAGTCTATTTCTTTCTCTTTCTCTCATATCGATTTTTGAAAAAGCTGGAATAATTTGCATTAATTTAAACTTTGTGTATGTATATGTCTGTCAAAGCAACTCAGTAACTTTTAATACAAACACTTTAAAATCTTGTTAATTTTACAAAATATATTTACAACGACGATATCGAAATCGTCACTCAATTTCTATGTTTATTGGGACACCCTGTTGGCAGCTCAGTGACTATTAGCAAGGTATTGAGAATCTGCGTTTAAAGTGTTTGCTGTATATTTGAATGAGTTTATTTACAAGCCTAGCATAATATAGTCCATCTAAAAGATCCTTATTCAGAGAATTAACAAAATTTTAAATTGTGCTAACAGAAGTGCCCGACATTATCCCGCCCCGTCTGTCTTAAGCTTTCTAGCAGCTGTCCCCCTCAGTTTTCAGGTTGTGCGGTCAACTACTCTCTGTGGATATTGTATGAATAAATTATCCGGCATAGTGCTGGATAAACCACTCTGTAGTCTGTATTAACAAATTTATCATTTTTTATCAAATTTTCATTTCTCTAAATGTTCTTATGTTTAGGAGTGTAGTCTAGCGCTTCGAGAAACTAAATTCTACACCCAGATTCTTCCTGTCCTAAACCAGGTACAGGGTGTCCCACTATACCAGATCCTTCCTGTACTAAACCATGTTAAGGTTGTCCCACTATACCAGATTCTTCCTGTACTAAACCAGATACAGGGTGTCCCACTATACCAGATCCTTCCTGCCCTAAACCAGGTATAGGGTATCCCACTATACCAGATCCTTCCTGTACTAAACCAGATACAGGGTGTCCAACTATATCAGATCCTTCCTGTACTAAACCAGGTACAGGGTGTCCCACTATACCAGAGTCTTCCTGTACTAAACCAGATACAGGGTGTCCCACTATACCAGATCATTCCTGTCCTAAACCAGGTACAGGGTGTCCCACTATACCAGATCCTTCCTGTACTAAACCCGATACAGGGTGTCCCACTTTACCAGATCCTTCCTGTACTAAACCAGGTTAAGGTTGTCCCACTATACCAGATCCTTTCTGTACTAAACCAGGTACAGGGTATCTAACTATACCAGATCATTCCTGTCCTAAACCAGGTACAGGGTGTCCCACTATACCAGATCCTTCCTGTACTAAGCCAGGTACACGGTATCCCGCAACAGAAGAAAGAAGGAAGAAAGGAGAAAAGATAAAACAATAGGTTAAGAAGAAAGGATATAAAGGAAGAAAGGAGAAAAGATAAGACAATAGGGGAAGAAAAAAGGATATAAAAGGAAGAAAGGAGAAAAGAGAAAACAACAGGGGAAGAAGAAAGGATATAAAAGGAAGAAAGGAGAAAAGATAAAACAAAATGGGAAGAAGAAAGGATATAAAGGAAGAAAGGAGAAAAGATAAAACAATAGGGGAAGAAGAAAGGATATAAAAGTAAGAAAGGAGAAAAGATAAAACAATAAGGGAAGAAGAAAGGAAAGAAAAGGCGGAAAGGAGAAAAGAATGAATAAAATAACAATGTTTTGAACAGAATAAAATTTTGAATTTCGAAGAACACAAAGTTTTAGAGGAACTTTCTACTTTAAAATCATGAATTATGAATAAAGATGAAACATCATAACGTGAAAAATAAGAAATTTTCTGGATTTAAACAAAAACATCCATATATTCAACTTTCAGCAGATAGATTAAGATTAAGAGTTGAAAAAAATGTTACTTTATGTACACTTATCTCTCTTTGAAGTTATATAAAAGGGAATAAACTCACATTTGATTTTTCAATTATTTCAATGCATGAAATATGAGGCATAGAATGTCTATCTTTTTATTGGTGGGACATTTTAAACGATCACATTGTAAATATAAATCTAGATCTGTTTGTCGAAAAAGACAAGTTAAAAACTAACTGCAAAGAAGTTCATGCTGCCAGCATCGAAAATTTTATATATTTTAATTGTTAATTACATTCAGCAAAACAGGTAAAAAATAGCAAAAACGAATAATCTTTGATAATGAGTTCTATGTACTGACATTCAACCAACACCTCTTGAGCAAATAAGTTCTTTATTTGTAAGTTTTTAGTTTTTTTTATCTAATGAAAACAAATTATGGGAATGGGATCGACATTATGTTGTAAGTTTTTTAGTTTTTTGGCTAATGAAAACAAATTATGGGATCGACATATTATGTTGTAAGTTTTAGAAAAGTTCCAAATTTTATTTTTTAATTGGAACTCAAATATGGTATTTAATAAAACCCCTCCTGATATTTAATTGGACCTCAAATATGGTATTTTTTAAAGCCCCTCCTGATATTTAATTGGACCTCAAATATGGTATTTTATAAAGCCCCTCCTGATATTTTTAATATTCAAGTGCTTCTTGGTATAAAATTCTGTTCTAAAAGTTACAAAAACATGTTTTTGATAAAAAAACCTTTTTCAAGAACTTGACATTGAGAGAATTAAAACTTATGAAACATGTTGATAAATTTTAAGGTTTAGTATTGAAAAGGATCTTTTTTTATATATTATAAAGTTATTTTTCATAAAAACACTTTTATGAATTATATCTGAGGATAAAGAGCTATTCATGACAAACCATGTTGATTCGATGTCAGTTAGTGCTAAAAAATTATTTCCCATCTTTTGACCAACATGCATTACCGACCCATGATTTCTGCAACACCGGGATGTTAAATTACTTAATTTACCCTCTCAGGACACTTAGGTAGAATAACATCGAACTCTACAAAGTTTTTGTGACACAATTCTCGCGTTTTTATCTCAAAACTACTTTTTTGAAAAAAAACTAAAATTCCTTTGGCTTCCCTAGTAGTTGTTGTAATTAGTTATCACATGCATATTAACAACATTGTATTTCCCTCATTGACTCAATTAATGTAATGTCTTTCAAACCATTTTTTCCCCGGTTTCCCCGGTTTGCCACTAGGGTTTCCATGCGGATATAAAAAAGTTTAAGGAAA